TAAGCCGGTGAGAGCAGCACCAGCAGCAGGGCTGGGGGGGGGTGTGTGACCCCCCCCACACCCCCCCTCACTGTGCCCCCTCCGCAGGCCGAGAGGCGCCAGTCCCTGGCCTTCAGCATCCTCAACACCCCCAAGAAGCTGGGGAGCAGCCTCCTGCGCCGCGCCGCCGCCCGCAAAGCCACCCCCAAGGGCTCCCCCCGCGCCGGCGCCCGCCGCTCGCCCCGCATCGCCACCGCCAAGTCCCCCAAGGGCAAGGTAAGGACCTGACCCCCCCCATCCCTGCCCCGGGGGCTGCTCCCCATCACCAATGCCCCCCCCTTGCTCTCTCCCTTCCAGACCAGTCGCCAGCAGCTCAAGGACACCAAATTCTGAGCTTTGTCCCTGTGCCCCCCCCAGCCCGAGGCTTCAGCAGCCCCAGGGGGGTGATGGCACAACGGGGGGGGCACCTTCCCCTTGTCCCATCGCCCCCCTGGGGCTGCCCCCCTGCTCCTCCCTGCACCCAGCTCCGCCTGCCCCCCTCAGGCAGGACCCCCCCTGCCCCCTCAGGACCCCCCCAGCCTTTGGGGCACCCTGAGGCGGGGGGGAAGGGGCATTTTTAAGGTATTTCTACTTGTAAATAAATTGTATTTTTCTCCTGCAGCGCTTGGGGGGGGCTCGGTTCCTGCCCGGGCCCTGCTTTGGGGTCCAGGGGGGCCTAGGGACCCCAAGGGGGGGGTCTCCATCCTCCTCTTCCCCAGTGCCACCACTCGCCCAGGGAGCAGCCGCAATCCACTTCCCTCTCTCCTTTATTCTTCTCCAGTTAAACCCCCCCAAGCCTTGGGGTGCTCCCCCCACAGCAGCCTCCAGAGCACTGTATGGGGGTGCCGAGCTCCTTCCCTGCCCCACATTCTGCCCGTGCTGCTCTCAGCACCCAGCAGCCCCAGCCCCCGGGTGCCCCCCATCCTCACAGCCCCCCGTGGCTGGGTGCTGAGGCCACGCTGCCCCCCGGGGCTGTGGGCTCCCCGCAGGTGCTGGCGTGGTGCTGCAGCTCCGCTGCGCTGCAGGGCCGGGCACAGATGGGGCAGGGCACCCAGGGGGGCTCCAGGGGAGGGGGGGCTCCATCAGCGTCCTCCCCACAGCCCGAGGCGTGCGTGGGGAGCAGCTCCAGGCTGAAGCGCGCTGTGGGCACAGGAGGGGACGGTGTTGGACCAGGGACCCCCAGTGGGGCCTGGGCTGTGCCTCCAGCCCCACGGCCATGCTCCCACCACCATGGGCACGCAGACACTGCTGAGCCCCTTCAGTGCCTCCCATTCCCTGCCCCACATCTCTGCTCATGGAGAGGCAGGTGCAGGCCTGAGGCCGCCCCTGCTGGGCACTCACCGGAGCAGATGGGGCAGATGCCCGTCTCCCTGTCCCCTTTGCTGTCCCCTCTCCTGCTGGGTCCTGCTCGCTGCCTGCGGGCTCGGGGCCGTGCTCCTGCCCTAGAGGGGCCTGGCAGGGACCTGCAGGAACAGGGGGAAGCTCAGAGCTTGTTCCCCAGGTCCTGGGGAGCAGGGAACCAGCCCCAGCCAAGGCTGGGGTCCAGGACCAGGGTGAGGAGGTGGCTGGGAAGGACATGGAGCACGGAATGAGGGGGAGGATGAAGGGGTCACCTGCCGGGGGCTCCCTGCCTGCTGTCCCGGGGGCCTCTCGTGGGGACTCCTTGTGCAGAGCCTGTGAATGGGATGGAGACGCGTTAATCCCATCCTGAATCCAATGGAGCCACATCTGGACCCCCACCAGTGGGGTTCATGGGCAGGAAGCCACCCATGGGATGTAACTGATGGTCCCTGATGGATCCCTGTGCTGGAGCATCCCCATGGAGCAGCACCGTGCTGGAGCCCCACACACGGACCCACAGGAGGCTTGGGGCGAGCCAGGGATGCACCAGCAGGAGGGTGAGGTGCCCAGAGCCAGACCGATGCACCCCTGTGGGCATGGGGAGCACCCGGGCCCCCCGTGGCCTTGTCCCATGGGATCCCTCCAGCCGCAGGCAGAGCCCTCAGGGGACAGGATCCCTTTGGGAGGGTGAAGAGCAGGGATGGGATCGGGAGGGACCTGGCGAGGTGGGAACCTCCTGGAGCTCAGCCCCTGGCTGGGGCGCTCCCTGCGCTGCCCCCAGCTCACCGGGTGCTGGGCTTCCTCCTGCATCCCGATCCCGCGGCTCCGGGCCCCCCTGCGCTGCCCCCAGCTCACCGGGTGCTGGGCTTCCTCCTGCATCCCGATCCCGCGGCTCCAGGCCCCCCCTGCGCTGCCCCCAGCTCACCGGGTGCTGGGCTTCCTCCTGCATCCCGATCCCGCGGCTCCGGGCCCCCCCTGCTGCTGGCTCTGGACCTCAGCGCCCGGCTCCGCGCCGCCGACAGCAGCATCCGCGCGGGGCGGCTGAGGCAGGAGGGCTCCAGCGGGGCCAGGAGCCTCTTCAGCCTCAGCTCCTCCTCCTCCTCCTCCCTGCGGCTCCTGGGCAGGAGGAGAGCAGGGGCTGGGAGGCAGCACCTCGGGGTGCGCAGGGAGAGGATGGGATGGACCCGACCGGGGAGATCCCCCGGTCCTTTCCCACCCAACCCTTTCCATGGCTGCACTTACGAGGGGGGTGCTGGAAGGGGGGCCCGGGACAAGGCGGGGCTGGAGCTCCAGGCGCTGTCCGTGGGCTTGGAGCCCTCCTGGGGGACGAGGGACTGATGCAGGGAGCGGGGACGGGGGCGGCAGCAGGGGAGCAGGAGCCCATCACCGCTGCCCCAAGGCAGGGCCGGGGCACCCACCGGGTGCTGAGGGTCCAGGGCCGTGCGCACGCGGATGAAGGAGAGCCCGAACTGGCTGTGCCGGCCGAAGGGCTGGCGGAGCGTGAGGCGCAGCCGGTCCCATGTCTGCCCCAGCGCCGGCTCCAGGAAGTCGGCTGCAGGGGTGGGATGGGATGGGGGAATGGAACGGGATGGGATGGGATGGGGGAACGGGATGGGATGGGAGGGGGGAACAGGATGGGATGGGATGGGATGGGATGGGATGGGGCGATGGGATGGGGGAACGGGATGGGAGGGGGGAACAGGATGGGATTGGATGGGAGGGGGGAATGGGATGGGGAAACGGGATGGGGGAATGGGATTGGGGAAAAGGATGGGATGGGACAGGGGAGTGGGATGGGATGGGGGAACGGGACGGGATGGGGGAACGGGATAGGATGAGATGGGGGGATGGAACGGGACAGGATGGGGGAATAGGACGGGAGGGAATGGGGGAAGGGGATGGGATGAGGAAATGGAATGGGACAGGAGGGGATGGGGAAATGGGACGGGACGGGGGAATGGGATGGGATAGGGGAATGGGACGGGATGGGGATATAGAATGGGACAGAAGGGGATGGGGGAATGGGACGGGATGGGGGAATGGGATGGGATAGGGGAATGGGACGGGATGGGGATATGGAATGGGAAAGGAGGGGATGGGGGAATGGGACGGGATGGGGGAATGGGATGGGATAGGGGAATGGGACGGGATGGGGATATGGAATGGGAAAGGAGGGGATGGGGGAATGAGATGGGACGGGAGGGCATGGGGGAATGGGATGGGGGGATGGGGGAATGGGACACCCCGTGTCACCAATCCCCATCCAGGACCCGGTGACACCGGGCAGGTTCCAGCCCCAGGAGGCTGGGGCAGAGCTGGCACAGCCCCCGTGCGGCGGCGCAGCCACGATCTCTGTTCCCATCCCCTCTGCTCTGCCCCACGGATCGGGCGTTACCTTCCTTGAACATCCGCACCCCGCAGCGGTTCTGCTCCAGCCTGGCCTCGGCCTCGCTCCTCAGCGCCGCGCTGGGCACCAGGGCCAGGTAGGGCCGGTCCCGCGGCCACCACGAGCGCCCCACGTCGAGCTGCAGGAAGGCGCAGCCGCAGTTCCCTGCGATGACACCGGCATGGAGGCAGGGCCCGAGCCCCGGCCCCGGCCCCGCGGCCCCGGGAACGCACCGACATCCACGAAGCCGATGGCAACGGCGCGCTCCAGCTGCAGCTCCGCGCGCAGCTGCCGGCTGCGGTCCTGCGGGCTGCACAGCCAGGGCCGGCGGGCGTCCGCGCGGAGCAGGTTCTGCACCGGGAACCGGGGGTCCTGCGGGGGGACAGAGCTCAGGTCCCAACGGGAGGCAACGGGGAGGAGGAATCGGGTGTGAATCCCTGCCCTGATCCCCGCTGTGATCCCTGCCCTGATCCCTGCCCCGCTGTGATCCCCGCTGTGATCCCTGCCCTGATCCCCGCTGTGATCCCTGCTGGGATCCCTGCTGGGATCCCTGCCCTGATCCCTGCCCCGATCCCCGCTGTGATCCCTGCCCTGCTGTGATCCCTGCCCTGATCCCTCCTGTGATCCCTGCTGTGATCCCTGCCCTGCTGTGATCCCTGCCCTGCTGTGATCCCTGATCCCTGCTGTGATCCCTGCCCCGCTGTGATCCCTGCTGTGATCCCTGCCCCGCTGTGATCCCCGCTGTGATCCCTGCCCTGATCCCTGCCCCGCGATCCTGCTGTGATCCCTGCTGTGATCCCTGCTGTTGATCCCTGCCCTGATCCCCGCTGTGATCCCTGCCCTGATCCCCGCTGTGATCCCTGCCGTGATCCCTGCCCTGATCCCTGCTGTGATCCCTGCCCTGATCCCCGCTGTGATCCCTGCCCTGCTGTGATCCCTGCTGTGATCCCTGCCATGCAGAACCATGGAATGGTTTGGGATGAAGGGACCTTAAAGCCCCTCCAGCTCCACCCCCTGCCAGGGGCAGGGACCCCTTCCATAGGGCAGCTTGCTCCAAGCCCCTGTGTCCAAGCTGGCCTGGAGCACTCCGGGATGGGATGAGCCCAGCACACGCTGTGGATCATGGGGAGCTCCTTGCTGCTGCTCCCACCGTTCCATGTGGAATTCCCAGCACATCCCACACCAGATCCCTCCACCTTCAGGACCCCCAGCAGCAGCTCAGGGCAATTGAGGCCTTTCCCAGCCTCCCCCCATAGGAAACCCCTGGGACCTGTGAGGAGAAGGACACCACGGAGCTGATTTTGACTGGAGCCATCCGGGATCTCCTGGAGCTTCCTTCCCTCCGGAGCCTGGGGGATCAGGGCAGGGCTGTGGAGGTACCCAGCATTCCCAATGGGAACAGAGGCACCCAGCATTCCCAATGGGAACAGAGATACCCAGCATTCCCATTGGGAACAGAGGTACCCAGCACAGAGATACCCAGCATTCCCATTGGGAACAGAGATACCCAGCATTCCCAATGGGAACAGAGGTACCCAGCACAGAGGTACCCAGCATTCCCAATGGGAACAGAGGTACTCAGCACAGAGGTACCCAGCATTCCCACTGGGAACAGAGGTACTCAGCACAGAGGTACCCAGCATTCCCACTGGGAACAGAGGTACCCAGCACAGAGGTACCCAGCATTCCCAATGGGAACAGAGGTACCCAGCACAGAGGTACCCAGCATTCCCATTGGGAACAGAGGTACCCAGCACAGAGGTACCCAGCATTCCCAATGGGAACAGAGGTACCCAGCACAGAGGTACCCAGCATTCCCATTGGGAACAGAGGTACCCAGCACAGAGGTACCCAGCATTCCCACTGGGAACAGAGGTACCCAGCACAGAGGTACCCAGCATTCCCATTGGGAACAGAGGTACTCAGCACAGAGGTACCCAGCATTCCCAATGGGAACAGAGGTACCCAGCACAGAGGTACCCAGCATTCCCATTGGGAACAGAGGTACCCAGCACAGAGGTACCCAGCATTCCCATTGGGAACAGAGGTACTCAGCACAGAGGTACCCAGCATTCCCACTGGGAACAGAGGTACCCAGCACAGAGGTACCCAGCATTCCCATTGGGAACAGAGGTACCCAGCACAGAGATACCCAGCATTCCCAATGGGAACAGAGGTACCCAGCACAGAGGTACCCAGCATTCCCAATGGGAACAGAGGTACCCAGCACAGAGGTACCCAGCATTCCCACTGGGAACAGAGGTACCCAGCACAGAGGTACCCAGCATTCCCAATGGGAACAGAGGTACCCAGCACAGAGGTACCCAGCATTCCCATTGGGAACAGAGGTACCCAGCACAGAGGTACCCAGCATTCCCATTGGGAACAGAGGTACCCAGCATTCCCAATGGGAACAGAGGTACCCAGCACAGAGGTACCCAGCATTCCCATTGGGAACAGAGGTACCCAGCACAGAGGTACCCAGCATTCCCAATGGGAACAGCAGGAGTCCTGCCCCCCAGGGATCCCACTGGGGCTCCCCATAGCCCCCAGCCCCATCCCACTGCCCCCAGCTCCCCTCGCCTCCCCCCGCATCCATTCCCCCACCCCATCAACCCCAGCCCTGCCCCACGGCCCCCCTTTACCCCCTTAGTGCCCCCCTGCCCGCAGTGCCCCCATTCAGCCCCATGCACCCCCAGCCCTGCCCCACAGATCCCCGCTCCCCTCCGTGCCCCACGGCCCCCCCCCCCACTCCCGCCACCGCTTGAATCTCCCGCGCAAACCGCGTCACCCGCGGCGGTTCCCGCTGCGCACCGCGAGCTCCGGTCCCGATCCCGGTCCCGGTCCTGATCCCGGTCCTGATCCCGGTCCCGATCCCGGTCCTGATCCCGGTTCTTGTCCCGGTCCCAATCCCGATCTCGGTCCTGATCCCGGTTCTTGTCCCGGTCCCGATCCCGATCCCGGTTCTTGTCCCGGTCCCAATCCCGATCCTGATCCCAATCCCGGTCCCGGTCCCGGTTCCCGCCTCAGCCGGTGCCGGCCCTCCGCCGCGGTGCATGACGGGACACGTAGTCCTCCAGCCTGACCCCGCTAAGGGACCGTCCCCGTGTGCGCTGCCCTCGGCCCGGCGCGGCCCGGAGCGGCACCGGGCGGCGCACGGGGATGGGAGCGGGGCCGAGGCGCGCCCCGGGGCCGCTGACACCGGCGGGGGGGGGGGGGGGTTGGGGGGCGGTGCCACCGGGACCGCGGCCGGGCCCCCGCGTCCCGCTCCGGGCCTGGAAATGCGCGACGGTCCCTTGCCGTGACAGCTCTGCCACCGCCGGCCGCTGTCCCGCCTCTCCTCCTTTCTGATTGGTCTGTGGCCCACGGCCGCGCACAGCGATTGGCCCGCGCTGCGGCGACGTGGCCGGTGATTGGCGGATGGTGGCGGAAGGAGTTGGCCGCCGGGGACGGAGGGGGGGGCAAGATGGCGGCGGTGCTGGAGGTGGAGGTTGGAGGCCCCGCGGAGCGCGATGTGGAGGAGGTGGAGCGGGGCCGGGAGCGGAGCGGGGCCGGGAGCGGAGCGGGGACAGGGGGGGCGGGGGGAAGCGGGTGTGGGGAGCGGGAGCGAGGGGTTCCGGGGGACACTGGGGCAGGGTGGGACTGGGGGCACTGAGGGGCTTCGGGGTAGGGGGACAACGGGGTGCTCTGTGGGGCAGGGGGACACGGGGGGGGCTGGGTTAGAGGGTGCTCTGTGGGGCAGGGGGACACGGGGGGGGCTGGGTTAGGGGGTGCTCTGTGGGGCAGGGGGACACGGGGGGGGCTGGGTTAAGGGGTGCTCTGTGGGGCAGGGGGACACGGGGGGGGCTGGGTTAAGGGGTGCTCTGTGGGGCAGGGGGACACGGGGGGGGCTGGGTTAGGGGGTGCTCTGTGGGGCAGGGGGACACGGGGGGGGGCTGGGTTAGGGGGTGCCCTGTGGGGCAGGGGGACACGGGGGGGGGCTGGGTTAGGGGGTGCCCTGTGGGGCAGGGGGACACGGGGGGGGGGCTGGGTTAGGGGGTGCCCTGTGGGGCAGGGGGACACGGGGGGGGCTGGGTTAGGGGGCGCAACTGAAGCTGTGCAGTGAAGGCTGCAGCTGGAATTCCCATTGGGAATGCTGGAGCATCCTCCCTGCGGGAGGGGAGCCTCGGCCCCAGCCCCAGTGCCTGAGCCTGCTGCCTGTGGTGCTGGGAGGGGGGGCCAGCCGGGCTGTCTGGAATTCCAATGGGATTGTGTGGGACCGGGGCTGCGGGGAGCTGCTCCTCCTGTCAGCCTCTGACCCCCAGAGCAAGGCAAGCAGCGTGTGGGGCGCTTGCGAGCCCCACATCCCAGGGCCGGCGGCAGGGAAGGTCCGGAGCCTGTGAGCCCTGGACGTGGAATTCCTGGTGTTCAGGAGCCAGCCCCTGGGGCTGAACGGGGAGGTGACACCCATGGGGCTGGGACCCCCCGGAACCCGCCCCCATGGGGGCACACATCCGTATCGAGCTCCATCCGGGCTCGGGATGGGGTTGGATCCGCTGGGATCTCCCTGCTCCCGCTGCCTGTGGCCCCCTTGGTTCCTGAGCAGAGGAGCCGAGGGTCCAACCCCCCCTGAGACCCCTGCACAACGCGCTCAGGGTGAGGGGGCCCCTCTGGGTGCCGCTGGGGCTGGGGCTGGGGGGCAGAGCGGCCACGGCGCTGGGTGGGATCCGAATGGGGCCGAGCTTCGGTGTCACCGCTGGAGCAGAGATGGGGTTCGGTGGCGTGGGGCAGAGGGGGCTATGGGAGTGTCAGGTCCTGCCTGCGGGGCACCGGGGCGCTGGTCTCATCCCGATGCTCCCTGTAATGAAGTTATTGTGGGAGCTGGAGGCTCAGTGCTGGGATCGAGGGGCGATTGGGTCTGGAGCTGGGAATTAGATCCTGCAATGGCTTGGGATGAAGGGACCCTACAGCCCATCCAGCTCCCGCCCCTGCCCCGGGCAGGGACCCCTTCCATAGAGCAGCTTGCTCCAAGCCCCTGTGTCCAACCTGGCCTTGAGCACTGCCAGGGATGGGGCAGCCACAGCTTCTCTGGGCACCCTGTGCCAGCGCCTCAGCACCCTCCCAGGGAAGAGCTTCTGCCTGAGAGCTCAGCTCAGTCTCCCCTCGGGCAGGTTCAAGCCATTCCCCTTGGCCTGGCCCTACATCCCTTGTCCCAAGCCCCTCTCCAGCTTTCCTGCAGCCCCTTCAGGCACTGGAGCTGCTCTCAGGTCTCCCCTTCAGGAGCCTTCTCTTCTCCAGGCTGCCCCAGCCCAGCTCTCTCAGCCTGGCTCCAGGGCAGAGCTGCTCCAGCCCTCGCAGCAGCTCCACTCCTGCCCCTTCCAGGGCAGCTCCAGCAGGGAGCTGGCATCGCTCTGAGCCCTGAGGTGCTCCTCGGGGACCCCATCTCCCCATGCCCGGTGTGGGAGCAGCTCGCAGCCGCTCTGCCTCCTCCTGCCCTCCCCTGGGCTCTCATTAAGCGCCGCAGAGGAAGCGCAGCAGCTTGGTGCACCCATGGGAGCAGCCCTGCAGTCCCTGCCACGTGTCCCACAAGCACCCTGAGCCCGGCTGAGGTGGAGCCGGTTCCTGTGCACCCATCTCCTGTGGCCGCCCTGCCTGGGGCCCGGGGCTGAGCTGTGCCCGCAGCTCCAGGGCATCCCTGGGGTCATTGCGGGCTGGAGGGGAACCAGAGCCCGGCCCCACAGCCCTCATGGAGAGTTCCCATAGGGATCTGGGGTCCTTGTGTCCGTACCAACCCCTGCAACTGCCTGCCAGGAGGATGGAGCCAGGAGGGGCTGGGCTCTGCTCCCAAGGAACAAGGGATGGGACAAGAGGAAACGGCCTCAAGCTGCCCCAGGGCAGGTTTAGATGGAGCTGAGGAACAATTCCTGCCCCAGAGGGTGCTCAGGCATTGGACCAGGCTGCCCAGGGCAGGGCTGCAGGCACCTCACACCCCATGGAGACGAGGCCTCAGTGCCATGGGGCAGTGGTGGCCGTGGGGCGATGGTTGCACTGGATGCTCCTGGAGCTCTTTCCCAGCTGGTTCCATGTTTGTCCCTCTGGGACCGGTTCCCTCTGCCTGCTTTGCTGCCCTGTGTGTCCATGGGGGTGTCCCCATTGCCCGAGGCCTCCTCAGCTCCTTGGCAGAGCTGCAGCTCCAGGAGGGACTGAAAGGTGATCCCAGGGCTGTGCTGGTCCAAAGGGCAGCCCCGTGATCCCTCATAACAGCGGCTCCTGTGGGAAGAGCTTTGGGAAGCCTGGGGGAGCCTTCAGCCGTGTCAGCGCTTCCCAAATCCTCCTTTTCCCCTCCGAACCGGGGTGGTTTGGCAATGGTTCGTCGCTGGCTGCGGGTGCTGTTCCCTGTCCTGGGCCACGCTGGGGTCTGGGGCTCTGTTCTGGCCGTGCGTTGGGATTGCTCCCAGGGGTGCCTGGCTGGGATGCGGATGTGGGGAGTGAACCCATTCCTTGGGAATGGGATGGCTGGGACAGCCTTGGCTGCAGGGAGTTCAAGGAGATGGAGCTGATGGAGGAGCAGGAGGGCGCGGAGGAGCGGGGTGCTCCGAGCTCGCCCCGTGCTGCCGGCAGGGCCCGGGGGCAGCTCTGGGCTGCAGCCTCACGATGGGTTCGTCATTTAAACCTCCGAGTTCCCCAGGAGCAGCTCCGGGGTGTCCAGGGGAGCTGTGGCAGGAGATGGGGGTGCTCTGGTGATGTTCCTCCTGCAGGGCAGCCTTGTGCTGGCCATTACCCGGGCGGCCGGGCCGGGGCGGTGCGTGCTCACGCCTCTGTCCCCCCGCAGGTGGATCTGTCCCACCTGTCCCCGGAGGAGCGGTGGAGGTGAGTCTGTGCCGTGCATGGAGCCGTGCATGGAGCCGTGCATGGAGCCTGCCGCAGCGCCCCTGCCCCCTGCTCCTGCTCCTGCTCCTGCTCCTGCTCCTGCTCTGCTCCTGCTCCTGCTCCTGCTCCTGCTCCTGCTCCTGCTCCTGCTCCTGCTCTGCTCCTGCTCCTGCTCCTGCTCCTGCTCCTGCTCTGCTCCTGCTCCTGCTCCTGCTCCTGCTCCTGCTCTGCTCCTGCTCCTGCTCCTGCTCTGCTCCTGCTCCTGCTCTGCTCCTGCTCCTGCTCTGCTCCTGCTCCTGCTCCTGCTCTGCTCCTGCTCCTGCTCCTGCCCCTGCTCTGCTCCTGCTCCTGCTCCTGCTCTGCTCCTGCTCCTGCTCTGCTCCTGCTCCTGCTCCTGCTCTGCTCCTGCTCCTGCTCTGCTCCTGCTCCTGCTCCTGCTCTGCTCCTGCTCCTGCTCCTGCTCCTGCTCCTGCTCCTGCTCTGCTCCTGCTCCTGCTCCTGCTCCTGCTCTCCTGCTCCTGCTGTGCCATCGCCGGCACGGCCCTCGCTGCACCCCGGGCTGAAAGCGCGGGGTCATGGAATGGGTTGGGATGGCGGCGTAAAGCCATTCCCCTTGGCCTGGCCCTGCATCCCTTGTCCCAAGCCCCTCTCCAGCTTTCCTGCAGCCCCTTCAGGCACTGGAGCTGCTCTCAGGTCTCCCCTTCAGGAGCCTTCTCTTCTCCAGGCTGCCCCAGCCCAGCTCTCTCAGCCTGGCTCCAGGGCAGAGCTGCTCCAGCCCTCGCAGCATCCCCGTGCCCTCCTCTGGACCCGCTCCAGCAGCTCCAGGTCCCCCCTGTGCTGGGGTCACAGAGCTCCAGGAGTGGCTCCGGGCGTCGCTGGGGCAGGGAGAGGCTCTGGGATGTGCCGATGGCAGCTCCGCTCCCCCTGTAAACCCCGAGCCCATCTCGGGGTCCCCTTTAGTCCCACGGGCCCCCGTCCCCGCGCAGTGTCCCGGCTCTGCCGTGTCCCCACGCGTGCCTCAGGCTCCTTCCCCGTCCGTGCAGGGTGGAGCACGCCCGGATGCACGCCAAGCACCGCGGGCACGAGGCCATGCACGCCGAGATGGTGCTCATCCTCATCGCCACGCTCGTGGTGGCCCAGCTCCTCCTGGTGCAGTGGAAGCAGAGGCACCCTCGCTCCTACAATGTGAGTGCCTGATCCCTGCTGGCCTCGTGTGTTCCTGGCCTTCTCCTTGCCTGCTGCTCCGGCACCCGTTGTCTTCCCGGCATTCCGGCGGGGGATGAGGAGGGATGCACCTCCTCAGGGCTGGTAACCCGGTTTCACATCGTGCTTTGGCACTGGGTGATGGGAGCAGTGCATCTCGGGGGCTGTCCCGAGGGTGACGCAAAGAGGAGCCACGTTCTCCGGGTGCTTCCCCATGGAAGTGAGGGAGGCTCCTTGCTTCTTATTGCACCTGAGCCAACCTCGCCCTGATGGCCTCACCGTGATGGGTGTCTCCAGGCTCCTCCGTGAACTTCAGACCAAGCCCCTTTGCCCATTCCCTTCTGGAGGCAGCACAGGAGCTCAGCTCCACGCCCATAGATGCCCTTTATCCCCTTGAAGCAGGTGGGAGAAGGGCTGCCAGGGCTGGGAGGGCGTTTCTGACGTGTGATGAGCAGAGGCCCGGCTCCAAAAGCCTCTCCCGTGCCCCACAGATGGTGACCCTCTTCCAGATGTGGGTGGTGCCTCTGTACTTCACCATCAAGCTCAACTGGTGGCGGTTCCTGGTCATCTGGGTGCTCTTCTCAGCAGTCACAGCCTTTGTCACCTTCAGGGCAACACGGAAACCTCTGGTGCAGACAACGCCCAGGTTAGTGCAGGTCCCCAGGGAGCTCCTCAGCCCTGGGGCAGCCCTGGCAAGGGGCAAGCTCCCCTTGTGCCACCGCAGACTTTGCCCCTGGGTGGCATCAGGCACTCGCCGGCATCCAGCCCCGTGCACGTGGCCCCCGGGCTGTGGTGCTGGGAGCCTCACCAAGGGCATTCCCAGTGTGAAACACACCTGGATGTGGCCTTCAGAGATGCTGAGGCTGCTGGTTTGGGTGTCAGGCACCGAGCAGCCCATGGCACTGCTGGATCATGGAATCATGGGATGGGTTGGGATGAAGGGACCTTAAAGCTCCTCCAGCTCCAACCCCTGCCACGGGCAGGGACCCCTTCCATAGAGCAGCTTGCTCCAAGCCCCTGTGTCCAACCTGGCCTTGAGCACTGCCAGGGATGGGGCAGCCCCAGGTTTTGGGAGCAACCAGCTCAGTCCTGGGTTCCTTCCTTACAGGTTGGTTTATAAATGGTTTCTACTAATATACAAGATCAGCTACGCCACCGGCATCGTGGGCTACGTGGCTGTGATGTTCACCCTCTTTGGGCTTAACTTATTGTTCAGGTGAGTGAATCCTGCTCCTGTCAGGGCTGGAACCCTCCATGCGGCATGGGGAGCTGGCCACAGCGCTGGGGCACACCTGTGTCATTGGCAAGCTGAGGATGAGCAGGGTCAGAGCAGCTTTTGGGGGGTCCTCTCCCTGTGGGGGGGGGCAGTCTTGGGTTTGGTGGTGGTACCTCAGGTGGCTCAGCTGCATCTGCAGCTCCATGGTGTCCGGCCTGGGAGCATCAGTGGGATTTGGGACCCTGACAAAGCACAAGCAGCAGCCCCAGTGCGGTAGCAGAGGAGCCTGGCCCAGGTCATCTTCATGGTTTGGGTGGTTGTCCCCTTCTCTGGAAGCTGAGCAGACCTGCAGGGGTGTGGAGGCGTTAACTGAGGCTTACTGGGAGCTGCTCTGGTGCACGAGGTGGAGCCATGGAATCCCAGACTGATTTGGGTTGAAGGGTCCTTAGGGCTCATCCAGCTCCAACCCCTGCCACAGGCAGGGACACCTTCCACCAGAGCAGCTTGCTCCAAGCCCCTTCCAAGCCATTCCCCTTGGCCTGGCCCTACATCCCTTGTCCCAAGCCCCTCTCCAGCTTTCCTGCAGCCCCTTTAGGCACTGGAGCTGCTCTCAGGTCTCCCCTTCAGGAGCCTTCTCTTCTCCAGGCTGCCCCAGCCCAGCTCTCAGCCTGGCTCCATGGCACACTTTGGGTGTTAGGTCCATGCCTCCGCTCCAGTGCCACGTGTAGCCAAGCAAGGTGCAGTGGCTCAGAGGCAGGGCCGGGGTTGCACCTACAGCACCTGTGTGGGTGATGCTCCCCGGTGCCGCGTGGGTCGCTCCTGTGAGTGGTTCATGCTGTGGCTCTGTCATTTGGCTCTGCACCACAGCAGCCCCAGCGCTAGGTCCTTGGTGTCAGTGGGCTCCTCTCTTGCAGAATCAAGCCAGAAGACGCCATGGACTTCGGGATCTCCCTCCTCTTCTATGGCCTCTACTATGGGGTGTTGGAGCGGGACTTCGCCGAGATGTGTGCAGACTACATGGCCTCCACCATCGGGGTGAGTGCTCCCCTGCGCTCTCACGGGGGGCTGCACCCTGTCACTCGCCTCGCTCACGGCAGCAGCTTTGCCCCTGCTCACTGAGGTCCCACCTCGAGGAGAGGAGGAGCTCCCTGAGGCTGCTGCGTTCTCGCTGTGCCCCCCCCGAGGCACAGCCTCTGAGCTGCCAGGGTCAGGCCAGACCCATCCTTGAGGGTGGAGCCTGCCCCGTGCCCGGAGCACAGAGCAGAGGAGTGGAAGGATCTGCTCACCCCTCTGAACCCCAACACGTGTTGCCCTCCCTGGGCCTGCAGCGGTGCCCTGAGCCCTTTAACACCCTCGCCTGGCAGCAAGAACCCTGCTCCACCAACACTGCCTGACCCAGGACCCTGGGGCTGCTTTGGAGCAGCTCCTGAGGGCCTGGCCTTGATGTTTCCTCCTCTTGGAGCTTTCTGCTCCCTGGAGGTTCTCCCTGGCCAGCCTGGGAGCTGCAGCCCCTCGCTGCGTCCCCTCGCACTGGGGCACCTCAGCAGCACCCAGGTGTCCCCCCCATGCACCCAGGACAGGCCCGCAGTGGGTTTGGTGCTCCCTGTGGGGCTGCAGGGCTGCCAGGGCCTTGCTGTGCCGGTGATGCTGAGCTAGGAGGAGCTGTGGAGAGGCCCTGCAGGGAGAGCTGGAGAGAGCTGAGCAACCCCTGACCAGCAGAGGCTTAACGAGAGCAAGTGAGGCTCTCCTGGGATGGGGAGCCCTGGATCCATGTGGAAGCTGGGGCAGGAGAGGCTGGAGAGCAGCCCCACAGGAGAGATCTGGGTTTGGGTCGGCAGCAGCTTCAGTAGGAGTCAGCAGTGGCCTGGGGTGCCCCAGCTGATTGTCCCACTCTGCAAGGGGCTGGTGTGGCCCCACCTCGAGTCCTCTGCAGCTTTGGGCACCTCAAACAACCGGAGTGTGCCCAGGGCAGGGGCACAAGAGCAGGAGCAGCAGAGGGCACTTGGCTGGGGCAGCCTGGAGAAGAGAAGGCTCCTGAAGGGGAGACCTGAGAGCAGCTCCAGTGCCTGAAGGGGCTGCAGGAAAGCTGGAGAGGGGCTTGGGACAAGGGATGTAGGGCCAGGCCAGGGGGAATGGCTTTAACCTGCCCGAGGGGAGACTGAGCTGAGCTCTGAGGCAGAAGCTCTTCCCTGGGAGGGTGCTGAGGCACTGGCACAGGGTGCCCAGAGAAGCTGTGGCTGCCCCATCCCTGGCAGTGCTCAAGGGCAGGTTGGACGCAGGGGCTTGGAGCAAGCTGCTCTATGGAAGGGGTCCCTGCCCGTGGCAGGGGTTGGGGCTGGAGGAGCTTTAAGCTCCCTTCATCCCAAACCATTCCATGATTCCATGAGGCTGCATCAGGGGATGTTCAGGTTGGACACGAGGAAAAGGCTCATCGCTTGGAGGGTGTTTGGTCCCTGCACCAGGGCAGCCACAGCTCAAGGACGATGCTTTTGGCCACATGGTTTAGTTTGAGGTAGTCCTGTGAGGAGCAGAGTTGTCCCCAGTGGTCTCTATGGGTCCTTCTGGCTTGAGGCACTCCGTGATTCCCTGTCTCCCCGCTGGGACACAGCACAAGTGACTGGGGGGCTCCATCCCCGGAGCCTGGAGGGTTGGAGCTGTGTGTGGGGAGACCCTCCTGGGTGCTCCAGTGGGCTGGAAGTGGCTGGGGGGGCTGCTCCAGGCTTTGCTCTTCATCCCTGCAAGCTCCAGGCACCTTTGGGGCTGCAGCCCATGGGTGGAAGCTGTGACCCGCAGCATGTCCTGAGCCAGCGGAGGAGCTGGTCCCTGCTGTGGGGCTGGGGTGCGATGGGGTCCCCATCCCCGAGCAGCTCCTGCGCTGTTGTGGTTGTGTCCGGGGACCCACAACAGGGTTTGTAACCCCCGAAGGTGGGGGGTTGCTGCCCCGTGGCCCTGTGCCCCCTGTCCCCGTGTGTCACCGCTCTCTGCCCTCGCGCAGTTCTACAGCGCCTCGGGGATGCCGACCAAGCACCTCTCCGACAGCGTCTGCGCCGTGTGCGGCCAACGCATCCTGGTGGATGTCAACGAGGAGGGGATCCTGGAGAACACCTACCGGCTGTCCTGCAACCACGTGTATCCTGCTCCTGCTCTGCTCCTGCTCCTGCTCTGCTCCTGCTCCTGCTCTGCTCCTGCTCTGCTCCTGCTCTGCTCCTGCTCCTGCTCTGCTCCTGCTCCTGCTCTGCTCTTGCCTCTGCTCCTGCTCTGCTCCTGCTCCTGCTCTGCTCCTGCTCCTGCTCTGCTCCTGCTCCTGCTCTGCTCCTGCTCCTGCCTCTGCTCCTGCTCCTGCCTCTGCTCCTGCTCTGCTCCTGCTCCTGCTCCTGCTCTGCTCCTGCTCCTGCTCTGCTCCTGCTCCTGCTCCTGCTCCTGCCTCTGCTCCTGCTCTGCTCCTGCTCCTGCTCTGCTCCTGCTCCTGCTCTGCTCCTGCTCCTGCTCCTGCTCTGCTCCTGCTCCTGCCTCTGCTCCTGCCTCTGCTCCTGCTCTGCTCCTGCTCCTGCTCTGCTCCTGCTCCTGCTCCTGCTCCTGCTCTGCTCCTGCTCTGCTCCTGCTCCTGCTCCTGCCTCTGCTCCTGCTCCTGCTCCTGCTCCTGCTCTGCTCCTGCTCTGCTCCTGCTCCTGCTCCTGCTCCTGCTCCTGCTCTGCTCCTGCTCTGCTCCTGCTCCTGCTCTGCTCCTGCTCTGCTCCTGCTCTGCTCCTGCTCCTGCTCTGCCCCTGCTCTGCTCTGCTCCTGCTCCTGCTCCTGCTCCTGCTCTGCTCCTGCTCTGCTCCTGCTCCTGCTCCTGCTCCTGCTCCTGCTCCTGCTCGGGAACCTGCCCCACAGCACAACCCTCCTGGTGCCGGCTCCTCTCGTGAGCTTTGCCTGCGGCAGCGCTGAGCCAAGCCCTTCGTGCCCCTCGGGCTCCTCCATGTGTGTCATGCACGGGTTCCTCCTCCTGGTGCTGCTGCTGTGAGGCTGCTCCTCATGCTCCAGCTGCCTCAGCCAAATCCCCCTTCCACAGAGCAGCTTGCTCCAAGCCCCTGTGTCCAACCTGCCCTTGAACACTGCCAGGGATGGGGCAGCCACAGCTTCTCTGGGCACCCTGTGCCAGTGCCTCAGCACCCTCCCAGGGAAGAGCTTCTGCCTAAGAGCTCAGCTCAGTCTCCCCTCGGGCAGGTTCAAGCCATTCCCCTTGGCCTGTCCCTACATCCCTTGTCCCAAGCCCCTCTCCAGCTTTCCTGCAGCCCCTTCAGGCACTGGAGCTGCTCTCAGGTCTCCCCTTCAGGAGCCTTCTCTTCTCCAGGCTGCCCCAGCCCAGCTCTCTCAGCCTGGCTCCAGGGCAGAGCTGCTCCAGCCCTCGCAGCAGCTCCGTGCCCTCCTCTGGACCCGCTCCAGCAGCTCCCGGTCCCTCGTGTGCTGTTCCCCGGAGCTGGATGCAGGATTCCAGGCTCCCCTCAGCTGCTGGGGCTCTGGGGCTCCTGGCAGCGCCGTCACAGCCCTGCCCGGGCGGGGTTTCCAGCGTGACTCAGCTGGAGCTGGCATCTTCCTGTGGCTCCTGCCCACGGGTGGTTTCCAGAGCGGGCTCTGAGCAAAGGTCACGCTCAGCGAGCCCCGCTCCTGAGTTCCAGCCCCAGGAGCAGGCTCCGGAGCTTCCCGGCCCCTCTCACCCCGTGCCCGGGGCTCTGCTCCCCGCGGGCCGGGGCAGCGCGGCCCCTGGTGCCGGGGGAGCCGCCTCCTGCTTCCCCATGGCTCCCGGGGTGAATCCCCCCCGAGTCCGAGCCGGAGGCACCGCTCATCCCCAGGAGCCGCCCCTCGTGCACGGGGCCGGCTTTGGGCAGTTCCTGGAGCTCCACCCGGGATCCACAAAGCCACCGAGGGCCCCTCCACATCCCCGGGGCTGGGTCTCGCCCTGGGACCGTGGAGCCCCCCGGTCCCATGCGGGTGTTACCCCTGTAAGACCGTGGCCCCACGCGCCCCTTCCCGTGTGCCTGGAAGGTTCTGCTCCTTCTGGGAAAGGCAGCACTGAGCAACGCATCCGTCCTCACCCGGGGGACGCTTCCTGCCCTGTGCAGTGGCTCTGGGCTGGGGTTCCAAGGCAGCTCAATGGTTTTCCCCACGCGTGGTCCCGTCCCCCGTGTCCCGCAGCCTGAGGCTGTTCTCCTTAACCTGCTGCTCCCAGGTTCCACGAGTTCTGCATCCGGGGCTGGTGCATCGTGGGCAAGAAGCAGACGTGTCCGTACTGCAAAGAGAAGGTGGATCTCAAGAGGATGTTCAGTAACCCGTATCCTTTCTCCTCGCCTTGCGAAGGGCACGCGTGGGGTTTGGGATGTGCCATGGGTTCAAGGGAGCCAAAAGCTCCTCCAGTTCCAGCCCCCGGGGGCACCTTCCCCTGGAGCAGCTTTGCTCCCAGCCCCTGTGCCCAGCCTGGCCTTGAGCCCTGCCCGGGATGGGGCAGCCTCGATGTTCCCATGGGAATGAGCCTCCTCCGGGCCGGGGGGGAGCCGGGTCCTGCCTGCCCCCGGCTCCCGTCCTCATGGAGGCGCGGGGCCGGCTCCTCGCCTGGATCCCGGTGCTCGGCTCCTCTCTCCGCGGCTCTTTAACTCCTTCCCGCCCAGCTGGGAGCGGCCCCACGTCATGTACGGGCAGCTGCTGGACTGGCTGCGGTACCTGGTGGCCTGGCAGCCCGTCATCATCGGCCTGGTGCAGGGCATCAACTACATCCTGGGGCTGGAGTAGCGCGGCGGAGCCCCTCGGCTGCCCCTGCGGGGCCGGACCCGGCGCCGGGGCTCGTTTTTAAAGGCTCCTTTTCCCGCGTACGTAAAGGTTTCTATCGCAGCCCGCGGAGCCGCTCCCGGCCCTGCCCTGCGCTCCTCCCGCTGCCGCCCCGAGGGCTGAGCCCCGCAGCGGCCAGGCCGGGATGCGGGGGCTGCGCAGGAGCCGCTGCCCCGGGGGCTGGAGGGGTGCCGGGCGGAGCCGAGCCCCGGGGGCCCTTTTGTAGCTCCCGGTTTTGTACGTTCAGAACGGGCCCGGCGCCGCTGCGCTCCGTGTCCCGGCCCTGCGCTGGTGGCCCCGTGGGGGGCAGCGCGGGTGGGAGCCGCGCTCCCTGCGCCACAGCACCCTTGAGCCCGGGCACGGACCCCAGCACCCGTGCGTGGGGGCACCCGCGGGGTCCCCGAGGGCGCCGGCTGGGGACGAGCCGTGGTTGGGGTCACGCCGTGGTTGGGGTCACACCGTGGTTGGGGACACTCCATGGCTGGGGACGCGCCATGGTTGGGGTCATACCGTGGTTGGGACTCATCATGGTTGGAGACACTCCATGGTTGGGGACATGCCGTGGTTGGGATCACACCATGGTTGAGGTCATGCCGTGGTTGGGATCACACCATGGTTGAGGTCATGCCGTGGTTGGGATCACGCCATGGTTGGGGTCATGCCGTGGTTGGGATCACACCATGGTTGAGGTCATGCCGTGGTTGGGATCACGCCATGGTTGGGGTCATGCCGTGGTTGGGATCACACCATGGTTGGGGACACGCCATGGTTGGGTCGTGCCATGGTTGGGGACATACCGTGGTTGGGGACACGCCGTGGTTGGCTGTGGACATGCGATGCGGTGTCGCCCTGGATGTGGGCAGGGGCCTCGCAGCGGGGCCTTGGGCTCTGGTTTGGGTGAAGCCGCGTCGGCGCCTGGTGCCAAACAGCGGAACACGAGTCCTGGACCCAGACTTGGCCGTGGGTGCTTCTTGTGGGCGCCGCAGCCCCAGTGGGGCTGGGGACACGGGGGATATGGGGGAGGTGTGCGATGGGGCCACGTCACTGCGCTGTGGGGTGTCCCCACGCCGGGCTCTGCGGGTGCTGCCCCGCTGGGATGCGCCGGGAGCTGCCTGGAACCAGGCAGGATCTGGGGCTTTGCCAAGGTTTTTCAGAGCCCGGTCCCATGGAGCTGCCCCTGCCCATGGAGGGGCTGTGGGGCTTCCAGCCTCATCCCGGTGGAAGCCCCGAGCCTGGATGGGACCCGGTTCTGTGTCCCCGGGGTGTCCATGGGCGTGGGGGGGACACAGGGGATGGGGGACGTGGGCATAAGAGATGTGCACAGGGGGTGTGGGATGAGGGGCACAGGGAATGTGAGGATGTGGCACTGAGGACATGGGGGGCACAGGGGCAGGGGACGCTGGCTGTGGGGACACGGGATGTGGTGCAAGGGAGGGACACGGGATGTGGCACAAGGGATGGACACGGGATGTGGCGCAAGGGGGGGACACGGGATGTGGCACAAGGGATGGACACGGGATATCCCGTGGGAGGCACAGGGACGTGGGCCCGGAGGATGTGGGCTCGCGGGACATGGCGCAGGGGACGTCACATGTGGGGCACAGGGGCAGTGGCCGTGGGGCCGCGGCACGGGGGAACCCGGGGGCGGTTCCGGTGCCGGTCCCCGGCTGGTCACACCGCGGCCGCTCCCTCCTGGCAGCAGCCGCTTAAAAGCGCCGCGGCCCGAGCGCCGCTGCCCCCCTGCTGCTGCCCCACGGCCGCTGCCCCCATGGCTGCGCTCCGTGAGGCCGGTACGGGCGGGAACTGGACCGGGACAGCCCGCGAGGAGGAACCGGCCCGGTGCCGGCGGGGACCGACCCGGGACTCAGCGGAGCTGGGACGGGGCCATGGGCAGCTCCGGGGGGCTGGGGATGGACGGGGTGCTATGGGGCTGCGATGGGGGTGCAGGGAGATGCTGGGGGGTGGCTGAGGGAGGATGCTGAGGACATGCTGGCGGCTGTGGGGAGATGCTAAGGGGTGATGGGGGGGTAATACAGGGAGGATGCTCAGGGGGGTGATGGAGGGGTACCGGGGGGATACTGGGATATGGGATGGGGAGGGCTGGGGGCTGTTCCTGGGGGGTTACCTGAGCTCAGGGGCCGCATCCCAACACTGAGCCCATCTCTGCCCCCCAGCCCGGCTCCTCCTGTCCCTGCTCTGCTGGGCCCTGACCTCCCGCTGCACCGGTACGAGGGGGCTCGGGGGGGGGGGGCTCGGGGTCACCTCCTTTCTCTGCCCCCCCCCCAAGGGCCCTGGGGGGCAGCGCTCACCCCCCCTCCCACCCCCCCCCCCAGGAGCCATGGCCCTGCAGCCCCCCAGCATCACCCTCCTGCGACCCCCCGGCCAGGTGGGTCCGGGGGATGGGATGGGGCGGGGAGGGGGCACCCCCCCCCCCCCCAGCGGAGCCTCCCGACCCCGCGCGTGCCCGTGCCGCAGGTGAGAGGCGTGACCGCGCGCTGCGAGGCGCTGAGCGCGCTCCCGGAGCTGGCGCTGCTCTACTGGCTGGGGAACGGCTCCTTGTGGAGCGGCTGCCGCCGGCCGGGGCCGCGCGAGAGGGGCCCGCTGCGGTGAGCGGGGACCGGGGCGGCGGCCCCGGGGCTGGGGGGGGTCCGGCCGGGGCTGAGCGCTCCCGGTTTGGTTGCAGGGAGCAGCCCCGCGGCGCGGGGGCGCTGCTGAGCCGGGACCTGCGCCTGGAGCCCTTCGGCGCGCAGCACGCGCGCACCGCCTTCCGCTGCGTGCTGCTGAGCCCCGCGGGAGCGCGCAGCGCAGACCTGCGCTGGCCACTGCGCATGCGCCCGCGACGGGGTGATGCGCGTCCTCCTCGGTGCCCCCGGGACCCCCCGGTATTAAAGCGCGTTGAGGCTGCCCCGGGGCGCCCGTGTCCTGCGGCGGGGAGCGGGGCGGGCAGGAGAGGGAGCGGGGGGGGGCAGAGCCCTGAGCCGCATCGCGTCCCCCTCCGCACCCACGCTGTCCCCTCAGGGCCCTGCTCCCTGCTCTGGGGGTGCCGGGGCTCCCAGCCCCGGTCCCTTGGGTGCCATGGGGGCCGCTGGCAGCCACGGGGCACCCCCAGACCTGCACCACCCATGGGATGCTCCGGGTAAGGGGCGCTGGGATGGAGCCGACCCCGGCTGCAGCCCGCCCCCAGCGCAGGGCGCCGCAGGAACCCCGATCCCACAGCGAGCCTTTATTCCTCTGCGAGCCAGAGCACCGCGGCCCCCACCCCCGCCGGCCCGAGCTTCAGCCCCGGAGCCCCGCGCTGTATCCCGGAGGGGCTGAGCCGGGCCTGGCACCTCCCCGTCCGGTCCCCGGCGGCTCCGGGTCCCGGTCCCGGCTCCTCGCGGTTCAGGGGCGCCCCGCGGCCGCCAGCGCTGCCAGGAGGAGCCCCCAAGGGGCGCTGCTGCCGGGGGGGCCCCGGCCGAGGTCGCTCCGCAGCGGTGGGGGTCCGGGCTCGGCCGCGCGGAAGGAGCAAGGGGCGGAACCGCAGCGCTTCTCTGCGGGAGAAACCGCGCGTCAGCACCGGCACGGACCCGTGCGGCCCCGTCCCGACGGCCCCATCCCTGCAACGGCCCCGTCCCTGCAACGGCCCCGTCCCGACGGCCCCGTCCCTGCAACGGCCCCGTCCCAGCGGCCCCATCCCTGCAACGGCCCCGTCCCTGCGGCCCCGTCCCTGCAACGGCCCGTCCCGACGGCCCATCCCCACAAGCCGCGCTGCGCTGTGCCGGAGTCACGGAATGGGTTGGGGTGGAAGGGACCTCAAAGCTCATCTAAAGCCCCGGGCAGGGACCCCTTCCATAGAGCAGCTTGCTCCAAGCCCCTGTGTCCAACCTGGCCTTGAGCACTGCCAGGGATGGGGCAGCCACAGCTTCTCTGGGCACCCTGTGCCAGCGCCTCAGCACCCTCACAGGGAAGAGCTTCTGCCTAAGAGCTCAGCTCAGTCTCCCCTCGGGCAGGTTAAAGCCATTTCCCTTGGCCTGTCCCTACAGGCCCTTGTCCCAAGCCCCCCTCCAGGTTCCCTGCAGCCCCTTCAGGCACTGGAGCTGCTCTCAGGTCTCCCCTTCAGGAGCCTTCTCTTCTCCAGGCTGCCCCAGCCCAGCTCTCTCAGCCTGGCTCCAGAGCAGAGCTGCTCCAGCCTCGCAGCAGCTCCGTGCCCTCCCTCTGGACCCTCTCCAGCGTCCAGGTCCTTATGCTGAGGACACCAGAACTGCACACAGGGCTCCAGGGGGTCTCTGGCCATGGTGTGCCATTCAATGCCATTCCAAGCCATTCCAAGCCACTCCATGCCATTCCAAGCCATTCCAAGCCATTCCAAGCCATGCTTTGCCACCGAGACAGGCACTGATGTGCACCCAAAGCGCCCTCCCCCGCAGCCCCATCCCCGGCAGTGCCGGGAGCACCCCCCCATCCCATGGGGTGTGCACCCTTTCACCAGCTCGCAGGTTGTAGGTGCTGTTGGCGCCCTGGGAGCGGAGCTGGATGAGGGACCCGCGCCCGGTGCGGGAGAAGCCGGTGACCTGGAAGACCTCGGAGGGCGGGATGAGGACCTCCTCCTCGGCGGGGTACGAGGAGAAGTCGCGGGATGGGGACCCCGCAGCAGGTGTGCACCGTGAAGAAGGTGTCGCAGCCGAAGCTGCTGCCGTTGCGCAGGGAGCTGGAGGTGAAGTGCCCGAAGCGCACGCTCTGCCCGCGCCTCGCGGTGAAGCGCACGGCGCGCACGCCCCGGAACACGCGGCGGCAGCGGCCGCGGTCCCCGGCGCCCCGCAGGGTGCTCAGCGCCTGGCTCAGCAGGAAGTGCAGCGCCTTGAAGGGGAAGCCGTGCAGGTAGCGCTGCCGTGAGCCCCCGGCTCGCGCACGGCCGCGTTGAAGGCCGCGTACAGGGGCCCCTCCATGGTGTACGCCAGGAGCGCGACCGCGTGCTCCGGCCGCAGCCCCGCTGCCCGCGGGACGCGGCCGCTGCCTCCAGGCCTCGGCCGCCCGGCTCCAGGCCTCGGCGTAGAGGCCGTT